CACAGTTCATATTATTTGACAGTATTATTTGACCACAGTTCATAGTAATTATGAAAATAAAGATATATTCGCGTTCACGGACTTTAAAAATATACTTTAGTAATCTTGAATAAAACTACAGAAAAATTTTTCATGTTATGCCATTTAATTTTTTCCTCTACTATTTTTTCTATCTTCAACAAATGCTAGAGCTCGGCCCAGTTCTGCGGACCACCCTGTATATAAAGTAAACGAAATTTTAAATCCTGTGCAAAATGGATGGAAGAAAGACGGTAGTTAAAGAACCTTTAACGAGTAAATTTTTACATACTCTTAAAGCTCTTAGTCTGAAGTTATTAACTTTGAAATATTTTTTACGTGAGATGCTTAATAATAAATCAAGAATGATAAGGGGTTATCGCTCGTAATATTTTACTTTGCTTTAATGTTCCAAGTTTCAATCATTTTTACTTATTCTTTCATAGTTGGAAAACATGCTAAATGCTATCAAGGCGTTATTAGGCGTTGCCTCATATTTTTTAAATACATTTATAATCTTGATAATAAAAAAATTGAGAATAAAATATTATCTAAATATATATTCTTTTTCAACGTTGCTCCCGCAACAAACTGGTATTTCAAGTATAAATAAAATTTCCGAGGATTTCCGCGATCGTTCATGTTGATGACTAAATCGTGCTATCTCGCACGTAACTTTTTTTCCCATCCATCCACCGACGTATCCATTATATAATATTCCTCCGCGTGTATATAAATTCCGTCATCCGTTATAACTAGGCGAGAGGAAAGAATGAAGCGAACTGAAACGCCGACGGTTGCACACAGGCGTTCGCCGAGACTGGAAGCGTGTGGAAGAGCCTCTGTCGAATCGATTCGACGACGGGTGGAGAGGGCCTCAACGCGCTGCAATGCCGTAATTTCAGAGCAAGATTTCAGAAAGCAGAAATAAGAGAACGGTGTTTTTCTTTTTTTGAAGATACAGATACAAAAGAGAGATGTGTGCATAAATAAAGAGAGGCTTGAGGAATAACGGGAAATACTGTGACAAACGAACGTTCATCCGGCGAAACTATTAAATTTCACGTCCGTATAAATCTGTCGCGGCGGCGTAGAAATTAAAATACGACCTCGAACATTCCAGTCCCGCAGCTGCCATTTTAATTAAGCCTTTAATCATCCTATTGCTTAATCGTCGCCTCTTGCATATTTCGCTTCGTATGCGACATTATTCTACGAAAACAACAATAAGACTTAATAACAGTCAGTTTAAAAGTTCAATTGGATATGCGTAGAGATGGTATGATAGCGGGTGAAGTTCATGCTTGTCTCAACTATATATATAGATCTTATCTATTTTAATAAAACCAACAAGCTAACGCTGGGTCTTTTTTACGCAATACGAATCAAAGTTATATTTATACGAGTGCTTTTGTCGCGAATTTCGCAAAAATAATTATACACGAATATAATTAAAGGCAATTTACATTGCTACAAACACTTCTATTACGTAATTATAATCTTTCATTATACGTAAATATGAACGCCTACGACAGCAGATATTATTCCTATCGTGTCTCCTCATCTCTCTTTTAATCATCACAGTACTGATATTACATGCCAAATTAGTTGAATACGCTTGATTTTAATAAACACAACATTATCAATGTAGTCGTAATTATAATATAATGTAGCCTAAATATAATATAATCCTATACACACATTTGCGTTTGTACAACAGAAAAAAAAAATTCTTAAACGAGTTGTGATAATATTTTGCACGCGATACTAAATAGTGTCAAATATCGCATTAATCATACTATAAATATTATCTCACCTCGTTTAAGAATTCTTTTTTTCTGATGTACAAACGCAAATGTGTGTATGAGATTATATTATAATTACGACTACACACATATATATATATATATTAATTCTTTACATTTTATACACTAGAATCATTTAAATCCCTTCTCGTCGTTCGTCACTGCGATAAGTCTGTTGTAAGTAATTTTGGGAATGCTTCAATCATTCAATCATTTCAGTGTAATTATGCAATTATTGAAGACGCGGCCTTCTAATAATCACCAGTCAGTGTCAGTAATAGAAATATATTTCGCACTCTCGGCTTTCTGTGTGATTGACAGAGGAGCATTTCCGCACTTCAAAATATCAGCGGCATTGGGAGCAGAAGTAATATGAATTTATGAGAAAATAATTTCGCCAATCGATATTGCATCAATATTGCTTTCGAATTTTTGTACGTTTAGTTTTGTATTCTTAGTAATAGACGATCATCATTCTACCGGGATAAAAGATAAATTTCAGTTAAGTCTTCCCGAGTGTCAGCGTAAATGACACCAGAGGGAAACAACAAAATAAATTCTGTATCTCAGTTTCGAAGAAACGGATTACGTATTTCCGGATTATATAACTTCTTAGTATTTTTAATCTAATCTGAATATTTCAAAGCTATTTCATTATCTTTTATATTAAAACTATTTTAGTATTTGTGTTACGTGTTATAAAATGAAAAAGACACGATATTTTAATCAATAAAAGTTACAGACGCAGTCGATATAAAGCATACATAAATGCGCATTTTGATGAATAAAATATAAAATGGTAATGTAAACGTTTCAGAATGAGAATTATCAATTACGATTGATCTTATTCACATTCACTAATTCTCTTTCTCTCTTCTCTCTTCCTCTCAGAGTATCGTTTCTTTTATGTATTGTATATACACACTGTCGCATCAGAATATCTGAATGACATCGATATCTCTCCACTTCAATCATATTTTTAAATAAAAATAGTTATAGATTAATGCTAATGTGAAAGATAATTTATATATATGCATCATCTTTCAGATCCATACAACAACATAAATTTCTTAGTTTTGTAAGCATTTTAATTTAAAAAGTTTTATGGCCTGCATTCTCAACTATTGGCAATATATTAATTTATCATATATAACTATTTATAATATTAATAATATATATCTAAATATATAACTATTTATAATATTAATAATGTAATTTTTATTAAGATTATTATTTCATGCTGCAAGAAAAATGCTTCTTTATATCACTAAAATTCGACACATCTTTTTCTACGTGTGATGTTAAAAATGACTTTTCTCGAGATCTCGACTATAGCACAGTGTTCTTTCCATAATTAATTTCTCCTTTACTTAGCCCTTTTTTTATATAAGATTCAAAATTGGCGTAGAAACACATTCTGCGCACGGAACGTTTACTTGAAAGGTTTTCAATCATTCAGCTTTGCGAGTGAATCGATCGCTAAGAGTCGTTCCGAAAATGTTGAGTTATTCGTTTAAAATGCTAACGCTTTGAAGATGCATCGAGCCAATTGACTTTAAGTCCTGTCTTTGACATGAAAAAAATTGGAGATTATGCACCATTTAATTTTTTCAACCAGTAACTGCTGACCTTGCCAGATTAAATATCAGCAAAAAAAGCGCGCTCAATATTGATAATGATATCAGCAAATGTCAGTACAATAAAACACATAATGTCACGCGCTGTCCACCGCACAAGTTATTACTTTAGTACTGAATGTTGTTACAACAGCTAGTTTTCCCATAATGTAAAGTTTCTACGTTTATATAAAGTCCAGGGGACACGTATTGTATCCCGTCTTTGTACACCACGGTAAGGCACTCTTTCACGACAGGTCAAAGAAACTTCAACGTGGAGAAGCTCACAGTGCTTGTGACGTCTCTGACGACCTTGAGTACGAGTCTCTTCCTCCGCTTATGAATCGTGTCTCTCTGTACGAGACACCATTACCAGAATAAACATTAGTCAGTACACTGGTTTCATGCGTAAAGATCCAGCAAGAAAATCTAGCTTGTTGAAAGCCTGCAAAGGCGTTCTTATCTTAATATACTCAAAGAATTAATGTAACTCTTGTTAGATGCGCCGTGTAAATGTATTTTTAGTCAATTTTTTGTTCCGTTGACACGGTTATAATTTTAAATAGAAGGCACGTAAGCTATTTTCCTTGTCATTTAATGTTATTTAATTTGGTTTATAGAGACTAAAAAAATAAGATATATTTTATAAAAGAGATTAGAAAAATAGAAATAACTGTCCATAATCGTATATAAAATCCTGTAAGTAATAAAAAAATTAACTTACAGTTTCATTAAAAAGATTAAATTTCTTTCGAAGAATCGAATTTAAAAAATATAATTAATAGTTACATAATGTATTCCTCATATAATCATATATATTCTAGTATATTCAAACACACTTGTAAATAGCGTTGCGCAAAATTATAATTTAAAGCTTATGTGTACCATTTAAGTTTTCAAATTTGGCAGTCAAATATCTATTGATCTATGAATCATAAAATAAGACGTGCACAAGAGAAACTCGCTGTCGGCAAAACTATAATATTTATCATAAAAATTTCATGATTTGGTCAAGGTCGCGGCTCTTGGCCATGCTGTACTCAATAATCTTCCGTTAGTCTCATTTCAAAATGCAAAATAAAAAATCCATAAAAAAAAGTGAACGTGGCAATGTCCGTCTCCGAGACAAAACACCGCCTACGAGCAGTCGTGCGAGTAGGTGAAGTCACGCGACGCTATGCTCCTCCATGAAATATAAAGTCACGGTAGCAGCGTAAGAGATAGATAGAGGGAGAAAACGTGTACGGTGTGCAAGTATATGTGCACGTAAGAGAATAGAAAGGAGTGAAAGAAGTGGAAGAAAGAGAAAAGAAAAGATATAGAGAAAGGATGTAATAAAAAAAGAATAGATGGAGAAAGAGGGAAAGTGTGTGTAGATAGAGAGTGGTGGCAGTATAGCAATGACATGTATCTATATAAAAGGTGATGGATGGAAAGAGATGACGCGACACAGGAACAGAGCAAGACAGACTGATCGATCGGTGTAAAAGTAGACAGAGACAGGGTCAGACATTTTCCTAGATCGCGGTTATACGACTCGCGGCATACATTCCGTACATACCGAGGGCATCAGCTGATCGGTAGACCTGACCCGGGTCACCCTGTTTCTGTAGAGTATCCTTTTGATGAGCTTCTCCGTTGGCTGGTTCCACTTCATGAAGCTCACATACGCCAAGTAGAATCCAAACAGCACGAGCGCCTCGTACCAGTATATATAACTGTCGCGGAAGAAGTAGATCAGGGTGAGCAAACTAGCGCTGTAGAAAGTGCAATCGCGAAATAGAGGCCACCATGTGAGCGACAATACCGTACGCGAGAATATAGCGCACATGCCGATCACGAAGAGGATGTTGAAGACGGCGGAACCTACGATAGTGCCGATACCGACGTCATCGAACGACACGAACACGCCTATAATCGATGTAAAGAGTTCGGGTGCTGATCCACCGGCCGCCATGAAGGTAGCACCGGCCACGTCGTCGGCGATCTCGAATTTCTCGATGATTACGTCTAACGATGGTACGAAAAACTCGTCGCAGACGATTGCCAATGCTACAAACATGTACACTACGCCGAGTATATGAAGTATCACGGCGCCGCGGCGTCGTTGATCAGTGGTGAACAGATCCTCGGGAAAGAGCGGCCTCTTGACATCCGTTTCGTTCTCACTAGTCTTATTGTGCCCGTCGAACCCCGCGGCGTTACCACCAAAGTTGTTGTTATTGTTGCTATTATACACGTTGGTACCATTGCTCAACCGCACGAAAATAGGCATGACTGTGCTGCTCGTAGTGTGGAGTATTATCGGATTGTTCGGCGCCGGTCTGTGGCCCCAGGATGACGAGGGACCCATCGCGAGAGCCAAAACCGCGGAAAGCAAGGCCACCACCGCCAATCGGCGCCTCCGCCTCCAACACGTACGCCGATCGCCGCCCGTCACGATCATCGTCGTCGTCGGCGGTGGTGCTGCTGTTGGTTCGCACCCACGGGGACGTTCGCCGTCGTTAGCGAGGCCTCCGTCCTCCTCCTCCTCCTTCGCCACCTTCTTCTTCTTCTTCTCCGTCCTCCTCGGCGTCTTCCACCCTCTCCCTGACCCCCTCCGTCCCTGCTGCCACCGCCAGCACCACCTCCGACTCCTCCACCACCTTCTTCTACGTGTCGTATCGTGTCGCGCCGCGGAGGGTGTACGACAGAGGAGCCGTACTAAGGCTGGGTCATGCTGGAGCGGCGGCGATGAGGAGCGGCTCCTTGCCGATGCCTCCCTCTGGATGGACCTACCTGCGTGACCGCGGTACTCGATCTTTCACCAACTGCCTCTCTTTCTTTAGTTTCCCGTTTCCTGCGTCCCCTTCTCTTCCTGTACTCGCTGCTGCGTTCCGAATTGCTTTTTCACTAGATGTTCACGACGTGCAGACCGGAAGAATTAGTCCGCGGCGCGTACTATGATTACTATTACTACTACTACAACCAACGCCGATGTACGCCGCTACTACGAACAGACTCGAGTATCCGACGCGACCGATATCCTTCTGCTTTCCGGCGGCGGCGTCGTCGTCGTCGTCGTCGTCGTCCTCGCCGTCGTCGCCGTCGCCGTCGCCGTCGCCGTTGCCGTCGTCGACGTCGTCGTCGTCGTTGTCGTCGTCGTCGTCGTTGTCGTCTTCGTCGTCGTCACCGTCGCCGTCGTCGTCGTCGCCGGCGTCGTCGTCGTCGTCGTCGTCGTCGTCGCCGTCGTCGTCGTCGTCGTCGCCGTCGTGGTCACTAGGATGCAGTGAATGGTGCATATAATCCTGGATGGATATACAGGAGCAGCAGAACGGCGCCCCCGCCGCGATGCCCGCCCGCTGCACACTGGAACAACCCTGTTCCGTTCCATTCCTCTCTCTCGCTTTGCTCTCTCTCTCTCTCTCTCTCTCTTTCTCTTCCCCTCTCCTGCTCTCTTCTGCCGACGCCGCACCAACTCCCTCCTTCTATCTCTTTCTCCCACCGTATTTCCTCCTTCGATGTTCTCTGTCCATCTCTGGAACCTCTCTTTCGCTCCTTCGATCGTCTTCCATTCTCCGTCGCATTCGCCGCCGACTCCCCTTTCGACCCCCTTTGCGATAGTGGAGGTTCTACCTCTTTCTTTCTCACTCCTTTTTCATTTAACGCCGGCCTTACAGTGCCTCGCGTTTATCCTCGTTGCACCAGCGATTATCTGCGGTTCGCTATCTCTTTTTGCCATTAGGCACCTGCATCGCTCTCTTTTCCACCGGGATATCTAGTGAGCAGAGAGACCCCCCTCTCTCTCTCTCTCCCTCTCTCTTTCTCCATCGGCCGTTCGGCGTTCTCCACCCTGTACTCTCCTCTCGTGTACTCGTCCTTTTCTATCCTTCATTTCGTTTATCTCTGTTCACGAGAGATAGATCCTCCGTCCTCTCTTTTCCGTGCAGTCGAGCTTTCTGTTTCCTCGCTCTACGCTAGCCCCGTGTCTCTCTTTTGCGCCAGCCGACATTCGCGGTGGCCCACCCAACTCCAACCCCGCCAAAATCGCCGCTCGAACGTCGTTCATCTCGCTCCCGCGACCTTCCGTCGCCCTCAATCCATCTCTCTTCCACTTGCCGCGACACCCGCGCTTTCCTCCCCGTGAGGGAAGTGGTAGGTCGTAGAGGTGGGAGCCTGCGCACGTGTGGGCACCCCTCGCCAGTCCCGCTCGATATCGAAGAGTCGACTCTACAACTCCACGTTACGAATGCACGTATAACGGGTGTCACCCGGACGGATTCCAACTGTCCGTCGCGTGCCGTACGTGCGCCTGCTTCCGCCAGTTCGACATCGACTACTACTTTCCAAGGATCCGCTGCGAAGAACAGACGTTTCGGTGCCGAGCAGGCAATCTTCTGCGTCGAAAGACACGCAGGTTACTCGATTCACGTTGAACAACGAGAAATCGCTGGATTTGAACGTCGGAACTGATCAATGCGGGATAAACAGGATACTTTCCCGTACGCGGTTTTAAGTTAAAATCAGTAAAATTTAAATGCAAATACCAAATAGCAATCTATTGGGGGTGTGTTTTAGATTTTTAGAACAGACTCGTTTGCTTTCGAAGTAACTGCACGAAATAATCGATGAGACATGTATCAGCGCTCCACGCTCTTCGTCTTTTAGATTTATCTTCTCCGTAGTTTTTCTCTATTGTGTTTCTCAATTGCGGATCAAATATATTTTAAAACTATCGTGTATTTCATAAAAGAAAACTAAAGATAAATTTATCGAGGATTTTTTTTATTTTAATAAGATGCACTGTGCTTTAATACATTTTGTTAATATTTTTTGTATTATTTAATGTTTTTGTTTCTACGTTTTCGAGTTTTTAATACATAAATAAGATTTATAAACGTATTGCGAATAATTACTGATCACAGTTGATAATAAATTGGCAAATATATACGAAAGCAACAATTTATCTGCTTCTAAAACTTCAAACTGCGGTTAGATTAATTCGCTTTGGTGCAATATATTTCAACTTGAGAGATACATTTATTATCGATGTTTTCTTCGAAAATTGTTACGGAAAATTACTGTACTTGCCGTGTCTGATCAGCTTGTATGCACAAAATTCTAGCATAACGTCAACAATGACGTTGTTAAGCGTTATTAGTATGTTAAGGAGCTTAACGAACAACTAAATGTCACGTCCATCTAATAGTAAGCAGTCACATAATATTTTCTACTATTACACTACAAGTCACTTTAAGCTGTCTGACGTAACCAATTTCACGAGTATCCTACTTGCCACTAGTTTAGAGTTTCTAGCCTAGAAAATGTTTTCAAAGCACACTACGACACGCAACAGTAAGTCCTTCTCTCTAAAATTGGCAAACGAAGAGAGAGATCGCCCCGTATATAAACTCTCCTAGTACAATCATGGAGCATCTCGGATATTGAAGGTGGATAAATCTTTATTGTTCCTTTATCGTCTTTTCGTATTGCTCGAAGAGTGACTAACCGATAACAGTGACAAAGCATGCTGATGCTAGAATCACACAAATTGTGTACGGAAAAAAGAAATGATTGCTTCGATACCATAATATCTCTCATTTTGCTACTATTATTATATATTATTATTACTATTATTATTATATATTTATATTCTTTATATATTACCCATATTGTAAAATATTATTTCTATTTATATGGAATTTTAGTACAGCAAGTTTCTCGTGACAGCATATCAATTATTATAAGATTGAAAAGATGGAAATTACATTGTGTATATGTAAATATGCAATCTTTTAGATTCTTGCAGGTTGAGTTTACATATAGCTTATACTTATTCTTCAACATTCGATGACAAAGTACTCTGTCACGAGTGTCATTTCATAACCGCGTTTCCAGGCGAATACTATATTTGCGAGGGTTATTTCATAAAACTTTAATATCAAACAAGTTCAAACTTAGTGCGGAAATTTCGATAACGTTTAACTGACAAAGAAGTGTAAGAACTTGTCAAACAATGCGAGCAACTTAGCTTCGACTGTCGCGCGTTTAACATTGTCGTTGCAATTAAGTGGTTAGGAATAAGTATGCTCGGGCGCGCGTAAAGCTTCTATTAACTACCGCTCCGTCATATGTCAGTCGCTTATTAATGGTGACGGAGTACATTTTCGACTCGTGATTCTTGGCGAATATAAGAGGCCACGAAGGGAGAACTTGCCGGAGAGAACTTTATCTCGAGAAGGCACGTGCAAAGGTAACGCTGTCCAAGAGTGGCCACCCCCTCACAGCCCCTACAACCTTTATTCGCTACACCGCCCTTAGACTCACTTCGTTATGCCTCAGAAATCGTTACAGTTATTAGAGATTGTCGACGAGACTTTCAAGCTTTCGAGCTTAGTCTCGAACTTTTCACCACATCCGGTTTCCGGTGAACGAAAGATCTCGCGAAAAAGGTACAGCTTATGAAGACCCTTTTACTTTCAATTTCGCGTTTTGTTAAAATTAAAAAAGAATCGCTCACTGATACTATTTTCTACATATTTAAAACTGTATATATGTATATAACATAAATTATCTTGCAGAATATAATGTCAATTTTTCGAACTGCATTTATTCGAAATTAAATGGCACTTGCTAACGATATTAAATCTCTTTCTCATTATACAAATGCACAATCTATTAAACACTTCTTTCCTTCATATTACATTTACTTATCTGTATGTAACTATTATACATTGAAGCCGCAACGCTGACTCAACCAAGTATTTTAGGGGATAAAGGTCAATCCCTGTTTCTCTTGGCTCGTGGCTGTGCACATTACCTATGGTCTTTTACTGTTCATGTTAACATATGGTCCTTTGCCAAATATTGAAAGCGCGGCTGTTCAAAATTAATTCACCATTGTCCCCGGCAGATTGTTCAATGTATAGGAAATATATCCTGCGACAACGTCATACCAAAACATAATTATTGAACGATTACATACAGATATATCCAAACGATCGCTAATATTAATATTTGAGCTTTCGAAAAATTAATTTATATTTTGTCATGTGTAATATGTAAAAATTAAAAATTGAAATGCAATTATTTTGCAGGTTATAATATATTTAATCTTTGCGTACATATTCTAACGTGTTTAAAGTATAAGTATTTTAATTTAAATTATTTTAATTTTAATTTAAAAATTATTTCAATTTTAATTTTAATTAAAATATTTCATTTATGAAAAAAATTTTACTTTTAAATAAATTTATCTTTCTTTTCAACAGACTAATAATATTTTTTAATGAAAATATAGTTCGATTTCTTGGATATATAAAATTTGGAAATATAAAATTTGGAATACATGAGCACTTATAATATTATCATATTTATAAGTCATACTTTAATTATTTATTTACAAATCCTACAAGCTTTTACAATTGGTGCAACACCTTTATATACTGTGCCTATTCCTTTAAGTTCATATTTAGCATACAAAATCTTTCTTTTTTCAAAAACCAATCTTTTTGAAGAAATTATTTTTTCAACAATTTTTGTCATTGTACGAACTTCGCGCTTCACTTGTTAATCCCGTTATTCAATGATATTTATGTTTCACAAAGAAAAATTGTAACGTTTACTCTCTATATTCCTTATACCAGCGACATTTCCGTTGATTGAGGTCGTGTTTTAGAAGCATATTTTCTTGCTGCAATCAACTTTAACGTTTTCTCGATATTACGTCGAACACTGTTTGGTCACTGTACTATGTTTAGAAGTGCAGAAGTAAAGAGAGAAAAGTCCCGTCACGAAACTCATTTCGAGATTGCCGAAAAATTTATCAAAGCCGTGCAATTGCATGTATATTCATTTTCAGAACGTTCCATCATCATATTACTGATATAAATAAAGTCGGAATTAATTAACTAAGAGTTCTTTTGAATATTATAATGTTTTAATAACAACTGAGATTTATTGTTGCAATTTTATCTTATTAAAACTCAAATTGTGTTACCGAAATATTACAAAATGAATATACTGCTAATTTATCCGCTTAAATGAATAACTCCGGAGACCTTACATTGTCGTTAATCCTTCTCAATAAAAAATATGTCTGTTTTACATATATTAGAGTTGAAATTTTCATTA